GACAGGTTTGCAGGTACAGACATATGCTGACAAGAATTAAGAAAATAATTCCTGTGCTTGAGATTCAAATAATCTCCTACCATTAAATTAGCCTACAGGCATTTACATCAGTGGAAGCTTTACATTGCTTAATGCAACTTTTGCACAGGGTATAAGCATAAATGTCACTATTGTGCTCATGAAAAAAAATTAAAACATGGTTTTATCTTTTTAAGGTCCAGAGAAAATAAAATCCTACCAGTCAGTGAAGAAGATTTGTAGAGTAGTCCTGTACTCATGTTACGATGGCTGAAAGAGGATCGGATTGCAATTAAATCCCCTTCACTGGAGTAATTCCAGGTTACAGTGGTATAGGGAAATTACTACGTCACTGACTTATATCAGTTGAACTAAGATACTAGAGTGTGAGTGGACCTGTGAGAAGGATGGGGTCACATGTGCATAAGAGACCACTTTTCTCCAGATCTTATCTTCATCCAAGATGACATTCTGTGTCTCGTGCCAATAATGCCAAGTTATGACAGCAAACCTGCTGCCTTAATTTTGATGATTGGAGCAGTTTAATTTAAGAGATTACATAGGGTGAATCTGTTCATTCCTAGTGCGCTATCAGGTTATCTCCAGTTATTTTGCGGCTATAGCTTTCATGCTTCCAAGCGGCTCTCTATAAAAAGCTTGTTAAGCAGTACTACTTACTGCGTGAAGTGTCTATGTAGGAGCAACAGTTCCAGAGCAGGACTGAAACCCTTCTGCTGGGGAGCCTATAGGTGCTCCATATATGCCTTGAATCCACTGGCTAAAGACACTGCTGACTGCTTTAACTACTAACAATCTTTTAACTAGCATGTGGTCTCAGTGTTTGCCCTAACAGAAAGGTGGCTGTTTGTAAATTTGCACTGCCAGGAGATTCCTTGCCTGAGAAAGCTCTGGTACATGCACCACTGAGCTAAGCTGTTTGTTGCAATGAAGGAAATGGACTCCTGTGGCAGGGTGCTTGAGCATGGTAAGGTATAGAATATGCTAAGTAACATACTTGTGGTGCCCTCTGCATGTTGATTGTTTTCTACAATGTATAGTTAATGACACATCTCCAGGAGTAACATATTGTAGAATATAGAGTGATAAATAAAATCAGGGGTATGCAACAGCTTCCTCCCACCCATCCCAAAAGCTACAGTTTTAAAATGAAAGAATGGCATCCAGAATGCTACAAAGGGCCAAAACAAAAAGTCAGATCTGCCCTTTGACCTTTCTATAGCTCCCTAGAAGTTCCAGAGCCCTTGAGTCAAATGTGACTTGGCCCAAGCACTAGCATACAAGCTAGAGTGGGTATTTTCTAAAGATTTGCATGTGGTGTTCCAGACACCATTTTCCCCACTATTAGCACTCCACCCCTCAATTTTAAACCTTTTTTTTCAATTTGCCTGGTAGACTGTAGCTCATGGAATATGTTCTGAAAGGAAAAATGCCCCACGGATGCTCTTCCCCAAATTAAGTAAAATTGCTGGTGGCACTTGTGTTGCTAAAACTGAGAACAAGCGATGCTCACTATGCGAGTAGTCTTTTCCCCTGCTGTTACTGTAGGTTCAGCATTGCTGCAACATTGAAAGTATGCTGATGTAAGGTGGCAGCAGCAACCTTAAATTGGACCACTAGATTGCCTTACGCAGCTACAATTCTAAGTACGCTTTCTAGAAAAGAATTCTGTCTCTTTCTTTGCTGTTTCCTTGGTGCTTCTCTAGCAACAATGCTCTACCACTGTTGATACCATATCATGCAGGTTCAGTAGTGTGAAGCTTACCATTCCTTTGTACGATATTAGGAACAATAATCTGTTATAATGCAAATACAAGGATCATCAAACTGTTATTGAATTATTTAGGTTCAGTTGTAAATTTTAATTTGGGTCAAATTTTCATTTGTAAATTTCAAAAATATCATGAATTCACATAGTTTGCTAGTATATCCATACTAATTAAATTTTGACTCAAATCTACACCTACAATTTTGAGGCTTATTAGCATTACGAGACAAGCATTCTCTCATATTTTTGTTAATTGGTGAGGATTTACCCCATATCTTTTTGCTACAATACATATATTCTGCTTTTCAGGGATTCCAGCTTCTGATACATTGTGTTTCTTTCTACATACTTCTCATGGAAGTTCCAACCACATCTTTACAAATTTGAATTGTAATAACATGTAACTGTTAACTAGTCTTTAAAAATATTAATGACTAAAAATGCAAAGGGTAATGATTGTGTGACAGCAATCCTTTCCTTTGAAAAAACTGTGCTTCCTAATGGATCACCATCTGTTCAACCCTTTGCCAGGAAATATTTATCCTGCTTAATGTAGCCACCACTGGGGTGAAGCTGCAGATTATACACAGTCTCTAAATACTTGGAAGAAACACACATTCTCCATTCTAAGCAATGCTCTCCCTTTTTTTTCTTTAATAATACGCCTTTATCTAAACTTTTGTCTCCTTGATTTAAGTACCATAAGTAATACATTCCGGAAATCAATTTTAAGTAATGTCATTATGGTATAAATTCCTCTGGTCTTCCTCAGAATCCAACAAAGGATAGGCTGAGATGAGCAGATTCCTTTTTACACCAAATATACAGCAGGCACTTCTCTGTCTTGTATTAGGAACCTGTTATAAACCTCTATAGAGAATTTATTGATAAATCATTGTTTAAGCCACTGACTTTAATCATCCCAAATGAAGTACAGGATTTAAAAATTTTTTGGAAAGCTTTCAGGAACATTTTATACAGATTAGAAAAGAAAGACTTTAAAATGTTTGAACCTTGTGCATGGAGAAAATTTGATTTCATTCCCTGTGACTGCAATCCTACTGACACCTGCGAATAAGTTTCCCAGAACTCAATGAAACTTACTTCTCAGTAGACATCCACAGTATTACAGAATTCACAAATAAGGGATATTACAAAGCAAGTAAGAAAGTGATTTTTCATAACTGTTATCTCACATTAACAAAGCACAAAGCTTCTTTGGGCTGAGTGTTCATTAGGATAAATGCCAATATTTTTAGCATACATGTTTTACTAACAGATTTGTAATCCCTAACATAGCACTGAGTCTGCAACACAAATGAAAACCAACTGAAAGTCAAATATTGGACAGTGATTCGCATGTCACCCAGGGAGCGAGGAGATCCATCTTCAGATAGCTAAACAAGCTTGCTTGGAAAATGTGGGCCAGTCACTGTCTGTCAGATTATCCTACTTTACAGGGTTGCTGTATGGATAAAGAGGAAGATGGAGGAACCATGTGCCATACTAACTTGAGCTCTTTCTAGGAAAAGTGGAATAGAACTATAACTAATACTCAGTACCAGCAAGAATTATGCCTTGCTTCCAATGCAAATAACTGTGATATCAAAGTAGAAGCCTAGAAGTAGAATTCATTGTTGAATCTGTGCCACATGCCACTCACTTAGAGGTCACATGACAGAATCCACAGCTGCCATACTTTCCTTTATACACGACCCTAAAGCTATGGATATAGGAATGGTATTCCTGTGCCTTAACTGACTCCCTAGTCTGCAGTCACTGCAACATCTTTTTCCAGTGTGCTCTGTGTCTTTCAACTGCCCCGCTTTTACGTGACTCCTCCACTAAATCTAACCATTGCTTTGCCTCTGTGCCATGTGCTCCTCATTTTCCTGCCTCTCAGAGATCTTTTCCCAATTCACTTTCCATTCCTTAGTACACTGCTCACGAAATCTAAAAAAGCTAAGGGTTTAATCTCAGCCAAACCGCCACCTTTCCCTTTTCTCCCAGAATCCAGACTGCAGATATTCCATATTCCTAACATATGTGAATATTCCATGGCATTGCACAAACTCAGCCCATCAGCACCAGCAACTTCACCACCATCGCCTCATAAAAGATAGACTTCTATCAAAAGCACAGCAGTTTTCAAACCAGTTTTAGTTTCGTACATGTGCAAACCTTTTCTCATCTTGTGAGTGCCTTTTTACAGAGCTTCTGTGCAGAAGGAAAAAAAGGAAGTCCCATCATCAAAAAGTACTTTGCAGTTCCTCTGCTACTGCCATTAATAAATCAGTATAGAGCAGTCATAAGTAATAAACAATGCACTAGGGATGTTAGCTACTGGAAATACTAAACAGGTAAGTAAATAAATACCAATGAAGAATATTCATGCCAGAATATATAAATCAGATTAATAACTTCTTAACACACATTAAGGACTACCCATTTGCCCTTGGGTATTCAAACCATGATTTATATATATATAAAAAAAGCAGAACCTGCGTCCATTTCTTCCAATGCACGCTTATGCATGGAGCAATGAGTTTTCTCCACAGTAATGGTCAGTGGTTTGGTGTGTGTGTTGGGGGGGGTGTCTTTGTGGTGATTATTTTCTTTCAAAAACTGCCATCTTTGTGTTGGGGCACCCTCATCTCTGTACAATAATGATTCTCAAGCTTTCCCGCTAATCTGACTCTTCCCCAACTGGCACTGAAACTCTCTCACAGAGTTGTGTAGTAAATAAAATGAAGGTGTGCTTGGTCTACGTAAACAAAATCTACATTGCACAGCCAGACACTACCTTTCCTAGGATCAAGCAAAAATCACAATATCCTGGCCTCACTGCCGCCAATGCTTTCGAGATCTACAGGTCCCCTCATGAGCCAAGATGTGAGGAAAAGTTGGGTGGGGGAAGGAGCAGGGAGGTTGCCTCGATGCTGAAGTCTTGAAGTGCTGAAGTCTTTGAGGGCAGTCTGAAGACCTCCAGACTTCAGCATCAAGGCAGCCTTTTCGCTCCCCACCCCCGCGCGCCAGACACTTTTTGCCGCATCTGGCCTGAGGAAGAGATCTGGAAAGCTTTCCCACCTTTCCGTGCATTTGGGGCTGGTCCAAATAAAACGCTTTTTGCCTGGCAGTTTAAAAATAAAGTTTCCGTGAGTCCTTTCCGTTCGCCCCTCGCATTTCACCTATGCACCTTTGCTCTTAAGCTCGCCTCGAGTCCTCCGTGCTGCCGGTGCCGCCTCGGGCTGCAGCTGGGCTGCGTGTTCTCCATTGCCCTTTTCCGTCCGGCAGCAGGAGACCCGAGACTCCGGGGCCGCCGGTGTACGTGGGGGCTGGGAGCTAACCCGGAGCTCGACGAGCCGCTGCTCCCCGCCGGGCAGCGCTGCTCCTTTGGGGAGTCGCCCTGCGTGGATCCCCGCGTGGGCTACGGGAGTCCCTCCCAGCCCAAGACGGCGCGCATGCAGGGCTCTTGAGGATGCCTGGTAGGGGGAAGTGGGCGCATTTTGTGGCGGAGCTGAGATGCCCGTGGGCACGGCAAGCATCCTCCGGGGCTGCCCTGCAAGGGAGGCAGAGCGGGGGAAGGCGGCGGCACCGGGCGCTGCTGCGCTTTACCTCTGTCCAGAGTGAGCGGCTGGACCACTGTCAGCGTCGTCGCCATGTCTGCAGCGCCGCCGAGGCTGAAATGACGCCGGGCTCCAGCTTCAGGCTGGAGTGTGATTGGGAGCGGGAGGGGGGCGAAGGTGGGGCTAGGGGAGGAGGAGGAGGAGCGGTGGGCAAGCGGCGGGGGGGGGGGGGGGGCGCGTGGCGTGCCGGCGGGGGGGGGGGAGCGGTGCGGGCGGACGCTGGGGAGCGCAGGAGCGCGAGTCAGGGCGCTGCTCGCAGGCGCCCCGCCGCCCACGGGGCTTGTCGTGCGCCCGGCGGGAATCGCGCAGGAGGCAGGGTCATCCCGAGCCCAGTTGCATCCCTGGGCAACAGCGAGGGCGTTAGCTCAGTTTGGGGTAGGCGTGCAAAGCCTCATGGGAGCTGGGGAAAGCAGCATCCCTCGCTGCTTCTGCCCATCCGTCCCCTCCGAGAGAGAAGAAGGACCCGCGTCGAGTCCGCCTCCTGGGGCACGGGCAGGCAAGCTGAGGAGAGATGAACCGGGCAGGAGGGCCCTGCAAGCCTCACAAGGCTGTGCAGCGGGAGAAACAAAGAGGAAAGGAGCGCTGTGCCTCGAGGGGTTCCTGGCCAACGCGACGCCTGAAATCAGTCGGAAGCAAAGGGGGGTATCAAGCATCCCGGGTGGCGGTCCTGCCGCCAAAAGAGTCCGCTTGCCTGACACTTCAGAACCGGCAGATCAAGTAACTCGCACCAAACAGGTGTTGGGGGCGAACACTACAAGCCTTTCTCCTAACAGAGCACCACTGGTTTCCCAGGCTGGCCATGCCAGCTGGGCATGCCGTCCAAGGCACCTGGAGGCCTTCGGATTGGGTGAAATTCTAAGAGAGCAGTGGCGCTAGTCTGCAGCTGACTGCTACATATGATACCTTATACATTTACGTGAGACACATTTCTATTATTTATTTATTCATTTATTTGTGGTACTTCTATACAGCTAAATATATAAAATTCCTAAGTAGTTCACATGGCATGGGCATATACACTTTATTTGTTATACACAATAGACATATAATTGCCTGATTTTAATAAGCAAGACTATAGTTCATCAGCTGCAAAGCTGTACGTTTATAAATGATACAGAGCTGTGTTCACACAAATGAGGCATGCACTGTGACTGTGACTGAGGCTAAAGACTAGTGCTCTAGTACACAAGAAACAGGGACTCCCCTAGATGATTTGCTCAGAGCACTCTGTTAATGAAAAAGAGGAAGCTCCCAGGGGCACCACTTAGCCCAGTTTTCCCCAGCCTGGCAGTCCCCAGATGTGCTGGAATACAGTTTCCATCTTCACCAGCCAGTAGGGCCACTGATAGAATTATAGAAGCTCCTAAACCTGATACAGCACATACAGGTTATGCTAATTATGGGGCAATGCATTTGATTAATGGCAATAGTAAAATGTTAACTAAAATTTTGGCTGATAGAATACAACATGTTATTACCGCATTAGTCAAACTGGATTAGGTAGGATTTATTAAAAGCAGACAGGGGCCTCATAATCTTAGGTTGATCTGATTGCATTATATATGGTTAGAACAAGTACACCTGCAATTATTTCTTTGGAAATTATTTCACTACATTGAGAAATTTGGTTTTCCTGAAAAATATCAGAAACGGATTCGGATTTTATTTTCATCACCAAGAGCTAGAGTCCGGACCAATGATTTTCTGTCTTATTTTTTATTTCTTAATCTGAGTTAGTAGATAGGACTTATTTCTCCACAGATAATTGATCTATGCTTGGAAGACCTGGCATGTGTTTTTCAAAAGAACCCTAATATACATGAACGCCTGTGTCATTCCTTAGAGTTTAAGCATATTCTTTATGCCTATGATCTTCTGTTGTTTGTTGTTCACAACTCCAGCCATCTATTCTAGGTTTGATACAGATACAGCCTTGGATATTTTTCTGGCCACTCTATGTTTTGGGGACACACCAACTGTTTAGTTACCGTAGGAGCTACCACTTTATAACAGCTGATGTGATGTTTGTAAACACTGGAGACAGTTTAAGAATATTGCTCTATACAGTGTTCATATATTGCCTAGTTTGAAGTTACATGGACATCGTGCAAAGAAAATTAAATAAGTTGTGAAGTTAAAGTGAAATTGACATTGTGCAGAACAAAGTTACACAGATTTCTTTGAAACCACATTCTTTTGGCACAGAAGAATGCTCATCTTGCTTTGTATTGTGCCTGCAGAAAAAAATGTTTAAATTCTGTTTATAGTCACTCTATGAATCTGCTTTGGCAGCTGCAATGCTAACAGTGCCATTTACCACAGAAACCCAAGTGGGTTCTTGTGCTTGCCAAGTGGGGCACAGCTAGCCAACTCTGTTTCACTTGGCAACACGTGCTGCATAGAAAAATGAACTGGTTTACAATATTCAGGTTCCTAAGCCACTCATTCAGAATTTATTTAAGGTTATGATGTCTCAGACCATCAACCCTCCCAGTGTTATACAAGGGAGCTTCTTTATTGCCCCAGAGGAAAGCGTCATTGTAGCTACATTGATAATTGTTGCCTAACACCTGGACTAGGTCCTCATGCATGTGCGAAGTAACTGTGCCATTGAGTCTCCAGCTGATCCAAGAAATGGCACTTCCAGTCTAGCAGCTTATAGAACTGGACTACAAAATGAGTAAAAGGTACAACAGGAATGGGAAACTGCCACTCAGTGGGTTGAATGCAGCTTCTCTCACTGGTTTCACCCTCTGAAGAGCAATCAGAAGTTTTTTTTAAAGATCCCATTCAGAATTATTGTGTTTCTATGCAGTCTGTAGCCCCTCAATCCCTCATGTGATGCCATCTGGACAGGAAAAGGTTAATCTGTTCCTACCTGTATCCTGACATCCTCCAAAATTACCCTGTATGAATAGAACACCGCCCCCCAAGCTTAACTGTCATGTTGTGGAGGGGGAGGTGGGAGATGGGAGGAAAGGTGAGAAAGAGAAAAGGGGAGAACAAAAGGCGAAGACCTTGTAATGCATGGGATGCTGTTCTTGCACTAAGAAGAATGTATTCATGTTTGGAAAAAAAGTAAGCACCCATGATAACACTTCTCCAACTGTTATGTCTAAGATTGCCTTGTTTCATCACCAACAGTGGGAGGTTCAGTAGCTGCCTATACTGAAGAAAGCACCAGTGAGTGCAATGGGATTTGGGCATGATTCCCATCTAGGTGTGCATTGGAGCCTTCTCCAGACTGGTACTATCCAGTGTTTGTTGGACTGCAATTCCAGCATGGCCATTGGCTATGCTGGCCAGGAATACTGGGTGTTTGTTTATTCATTTGATTTGTACCCCAGCTATGTGCCAAGAAAAATGGTATGCAGAGTGGCTTAGACTCAAAGTCAAAACTTAATTAAAATAAGAATTAAAATAAGTACATTAAAACACAATTAAATATTGCAACTAAATGAAAACTTCACTGAACCCCACAGACCCACTTAGTGTCAAAAGTCTGCTTGAATCAGAGAGTCTTTGCCTGTTTTGCACTATAGCAAATCTGGACAGCATTAAGTTGGAGAAGGCTACAGGCTGTGCCCCAAAAGGCTTGTAGGGAATGATAATCCACAACCAGATTTCCTCTACTATTTGAGCTCTGTCTCCCGACCTCAGAAAGAACAAGAGCAGTGCACTTCATCCTGTGGCCACTGGACACCCTCCCAAGGGACATAGGATTGCTCTCTGAATAGGTTGAATTAATTGAGTCAAGAGGTTTTGAGCAGTAAAAAAGTGTCCCCAAGTAACTAGAATTACTTAATTGTGCTTGTTCACAGGAGGGAATGTCTCTGCAAATCATACCTGTATTATCCGATCATAAAGAATGTATTTTTCTTCCAAAGTATTTTTATTCAGATGAAGAATTTTTACATATGTTTGTCAATTAGGGCACAACCTTGGAGAATTACAAGCACCCTATGGAAGGAGTGCTGAGGTTGCTTGTGCTGTACAAAGCAGCTAGACATGCATTTTGGCTGTCTGTCTGTGGTATTTTGGAACAGGGGTAAGGAGGTTCCCAGGATATGTTTTATCTTAGCAGCAAGATGTGTCATATATTGGTGGTGCTGGACACTTCCCCTCCCTGGACTTAAAACGCTTCTCCAAGTTTGCTCTTTCAACCACAGAGAAGCTGCCAGCATAATTCTTTCTGTACCAGCCGAAAGGGTGGGGAGGACGGACTGAGTCCTTGCTCCTAGCCTCAACTGTGCAAACACATTCCTGGCTATCACTGAAACTTGGGCCAAGGACACTGAGATTGCAAGCCTGAAACTTCAACAGAAGTGTAATGCACCCAGCAGAGCAGCTGTTCCCTGCTCTGCATTTCAACTGACCAGGAGCACCTCTGTTTTGCCTGGATTAAGCTTCAATTTGTTTGCCCTTTAGACACATTTCCTAAAATTATTTTTTTCATGTGTTTTATTTTGAAGCTGGAGAACAACAGTTCATATTGCCATTCCTGTAATAATTCTCACTGAAAACCATTTGCTTAAGGCTCTTAAAATGGCATCATTCTGATTAGCTCAAAGTTCACAGCAGAAGTTGTCATATTTGCCTTCAAGCTGACCCACATTCTGTTGCATACGGGAAAAAAAAATCTAATGATTGCAGTGCTTCTCATGGTTTTACAATCAAAGGCTTTTCCTCCAAGGATGTAAACAGTTCTAGAACTAAGATATGTTCAAAAGGTGCTCTTAATAGTAAATAGCTCAATCTTTTTTACACTGCCGGGGAAAAGGAGCTAACATTGTGCATGTCAATTATAATGAAACAGTGCAACTTCATGACTACTAAATCTTTTTTATTGTTTTTTTAAAGATCAAAATAATTGAATATGTTGAGGATTGAGAAACAGACTATATATCTGCATGATCTTT